TTTGTTGATATGTGATGCCTAATAGCCTGGGAATACTTCTTGTATGATATTGACATCAATATTGTAGTTGCTTAGTGCATGCATCATAGTTATCCATAACTAAGATTTTATAGTCTGTGAATGTTTGATTTGACCTTATTTCTTGTTCCTTGTTTGATTGTAGACTTAGGGTAGAATCAAGTGTGTGTTGTATATAGGATCCAGTGTTATGTATGATTAGCATACGTAAGTGTTGCTATAACATCCGAAATCTAGAAGGTCAATTATGGAAATAAAACCTTATTTGTAAAGGCCAGCTCGTCGAGTTTGGGGGAAGAAACTCGACGTGTTGGAAGTGTTGCTTGCACGTCTTTTTGAAGACCAACTCAATGAATTGGAGAGGAGCAACTCGATGATTTGGACGTGCTTTGGGAAACGCCAAATTTAAGGTTTTGCACCCATTTAAACAACTTAAACCCCAAATGTTGGCCTCATTTCCAACCACCATTCTCCTAAACTCGAACCTCGAAACACTAAGGCATTTTTGAATGTTATCACCACTAGAAAAACTGTCTTTTATGACGCGCAATGTGTTTCGTAAAATGCTCAGACAACGTGGAAATGCATGTCAAGGAAGACCTTGTCATAACGAGAGACAACACGCTTTTGCGCGTCGTCTATTTACGACGTGCATTTTCGACGCACATTTATGACACGCATTTACAATGCACAATTATGACACGCAGTGCGTATCAAGGAAGGCCCTATCATAAAGGAAGACGACACGTATTTTCATGTCGTAAGCTTACGACACGCGTGTTTATGACACACAATGCATATCAAGGAAGTCGCTGTCATAAAGGAAGACGACACACATTTTTGCGTGTAATAGTTTTAAATGTTTTTAAAATTATATATTTTTGATAGATTTACTAATTTTTAAATTAAATAATAAATAAAAAGTCTCATAATACAAAATAAAATACCATAAATAATAAATATAATTCATTGCATTTATATGTCAAATACATATAATCATTCCAATAGTAAGTAAATGTAACACATTGCTAATATTGCATAATAATTATTATAGAAAACAAAACATGTACAACATTTAAAGAAACCCATGACTAAATTCTCCTTTGACAACCTCCTTTATAAGAGAATAACCTGAATGCAGGAACTTTGAGAGGTAGCTGAGCATGGATTGCTTGAGCTGTTAGAACCTGTATATGGCAAATCGGTAACTTAACATGCCATTATGGACATTTTGGTCGCAGGGGGTATATTTTCAAGCATGGTGAAGGTTACAACTTCAGGTGTCTTTATGGGCATTTTGGTCACATCGGGTCTTTTTTTGGGCATGGTGAAGGTTTCAGATGCAGATACCTTTGTGGGCATTTTAGTCACATTAGGTCTTTTTCTAGGCATGGTAAATTTTTTGGTTTCAGGTTCAAAAAAATGAACAAGGAGTGTTCAGCTAGACCGAGTTTTACATATTTGTTTATGTTCAGTTTTATTATAGTTTCACATTCTTATTGTAGTTGCACTAGTTGGAGAGGGGGGCTGAACCAACAATACTAACATTCATATGTTAATCAAACAAAGCTAAAGGATTATGGAAATATGGGTAAGAAAGAAGTTACCTTCCATTGACGTCCTTTCCGAGATACCTTAGAATGGTAAATGCACTATAGTCTATAGACAAGGTAAATTCACTATATAGTCTATACACAAGCGTATAGTTATCATTAAGTTTTATTTATCCTTCTAACTGTCGGCTAGAAAGAGTGTGTACGGTGCTAATTGATATATAAAATTAAACAAACTTAAGTACGTAACCTTTGTGAGTGTTTTAGTCATGGGTGTCAGGTTCGCTATTGGGGTAGGTGTATCTGTGCTGGTTAATACCCATGAAGATAGTTCGGGCAGTTATGACTCATCAGTTCCAAAAGTGACAACTAGGTTGTGGCAAAATGGATACCACCTGATTATACACAATTAAAATCAAAATCAAAATCAAATTTTAATTGGTATCAAGTGGAGAAAATGATGATTAGAATATAAAGTAAGTGAATTTTTGCTATCAAAAGTCATAAAAGAAATTTTGCTAGATGATTCCAAAGAAACATCTCAACAATATTAACTCTTGTGCAATGTCTTTTATTATGAGTTCATCTCCTTGAATTCCCCAACTATTGCATCAAACACCCCATTCTCCCATTCTCCCTTGATATTCTTCAACAACTCACCCTCTTCATTCACTTCCTGCATCATCACGATCATCATAAATTAATAACAACATTCTAAAGGGTTTTGAGCATTCTAACACTCCTAAGGTGTACATGCAACCTTAGAAACCTTAGATCTATGTTTGACTAAGATACATGAAAATTTGATTTTCCAAGGTTCTTTAACTATCTAACATAGCATGGGGAACTTTTAAACATAAATGCTAGAAGAAGAACATACCTTTTGTAGTTTGGATTCCATGAGAACCTTGTGAGCCTAGCACCTCAAGTGTGATGCCTCAAATGTCTCACACAACACCAAATACACTTGGAATAACCTTGAGAGAAATAGAACACTTCTAAAATCGGCTATAACCTCTTGTTCTCACACTTGTGTCGATTTTGGTTGCTAACATATTCCTTTTATTGTATGTCATAAGTATGGTTACACCATGTAAACCCTAACTTGACATGGCTCTTCATTTCCATGATCCATGGGTTCAAAGACACCATGGAGCATCCTATGGGTTTTAGCCCAACTTGATAATCAATGGAGAATTAGCCCACTATACAAGTAATGGGTGATTTACACAATTAACCCATATACTTAACTAGTCTTTTTTTGATCACTTAATTAATTCCAAATTAATTCTTGATCAATACTAATTAAATAATATTATTAATATATTAGAACATGTAAAATATTAATTAACCTTAAGTGTTATTTCTCTCATTTTGGTCTATCCAAATGCATGATGTCATTTAACCCAAATGGACTATGTTAATCAGGTCAAGTACATCCCAGAAGTAGTTATAAACTTAGACACCTAATCCAACAGTCTCCCATTTGGATTAGTCTAATAACTATATCTGCAAGAATAACTTCAGGAACCGATCAGCAATCGTAGCTCTTTCAAGGTCTCGCGGAACTTAGATGATGATGATACGCCATTTAAAATAAGTGATTATATAATCCTCTGTTCTAGATATCAGTCGGACAAATACATGTAACAATGTCTTACTTATTGTCCAGCAAGGTGTTTCTCGATTTCCAATTTGTTTGACATAGAACTTATTTAAACACATCAACTTAGTTCTGACCGGGTCCAGTACATGGGTCAACACAAAATCATTGAGGGGCCCAGATATCGCTTCTAATCCAAGAAGGAACATATAAACTTCGACTCATATGTTTGTTCTACTACTTGTTGAATCATACGCAAAGACATGTTTTATAACATCGAGTTACCAATACGTTTATGTCTAATCAATGTATAACCAACTAATAGGCAACAAGTCATATATCTAGGTTTGAAGATTTATATGATATTACCATCTCACGATCACTCGAGATAAATTCCATGAAGTGATACCAATGAGTGTGGGTTGAATCCAATACTCAGAACTTATGAACACTCATGAATGTTGCAACAATCCTTGCTATGTCCCATACCTTGGACATCTACAATAAAACTTCATGACAGTCTTGATTCATATCTACTTCCAAGATATGACCGACTGTGGATGGTTTGAATAACTTTAGTCATTCAGGAAGAGCGACTTAGTTATTCTGGAAGTCAAAACATAAAAAGTGAAACACAAGAATAATCGAATCAAATATGGTCTCAGAATTTATGAATATAAATAGAACATCTTTTATTTATCACCATATTGATTACATATTATTCATTGTATACCGTTTCAAACTATCAACTTTATACTTGAATTAAAACAATAGTTGTCACATGCTCCAAACATGTACACTATGGTTTTTTTTTCTAAACACTAATCATGCCATACACCAAGTATGCACACTCCTTATAGAAGAGCAAAAAAAAAACCTTGGGCAACGACACACCAAAAAAGATGAAAAATAGTGTGAGAGAGATGGAGTCAGAGTTAGGGTTATGAGAAAAGCAAAGATATGGAAGATGGGTATTCAAATTTCAAATTTTAAATCTGTGCATTCACGATGTAAAGATCTGCGAAATCACGTTGTATACTTTAAATTTGAGAACTTGCTGGTTTTAAGGAATGATATCAGTTTAGCTAATTGTTTTGGCGGGAAAAGCATTATATTGGTTTCCAGGAAGAAGCCGCATGGCAAAACAAAGAACAAAGATACGACATTTGGCAGGATGCTGAGTATTATATTAGAAGTAGGGATATGTTTAAAAATATACCTATTGGGTAAATATATTTTTCAAAAAACACCTATATAATTAAAAACTCAACAAAAATAATACTTGTTATATTCATATTTCAAAAGTAGTCCCTATATTATAGTAGTTATAAAATATATATTGCAAAGTAATATTCTAATTGTTTGTTTGTAAATTTCATTGAGTTCTGACAAACTTTTTGAACTCACAATTTTATATAAAAGAAATAAAAACAAATCAAGTATACGGCTTGATTTTTGCTTAATGTTTTTGTTTAAAAAAGTGGCGTGTATAAGTAAACTATTATGTTTTAATAATTAAATTTGAATGTACTTGTAAATAAAATTTGTAATTACTATGTGTTTGTTAGTGATTTTCCGAGACTTCGGGATATCAAAATTGAATGAGCCGCTAATTTTAAGAGATTCGAATAGAATGAATTGAATGAGTTAATGGTAAATTGGTAATTTAAATTTAATGGTGGGAAGCATCCTGAAGAATATTAGAAGAATATTAGAGTATACGCTGAGGGTCACAACGAAAAACGAATTAGCTGAGTTGACACACAAATCCGTTTTTATAGATAGGAGCTCAATATGCACAAAAGAACATTGACGAATCCCATAAGGACAACTTCTGTAATCGCTAAAACTCAGCTTTCAGTGAAAACCCCAAGTTCACAATAATAGTGAATACATATTTAATATTATCTTCTCTATATTTTCGTACTTATCACAATTCACACGACCAACTGTCATAATCGATGAATACGTTTTAAATAAGAATTAATTAAAGCAGTCGAGTTGACAAATCATTATACATAGTTTGACACATTTCACCAATACTTAATTGTTCACCATATTATACATCCGATTATCGACCTCAGTGGAGCCTCACAAAATTTTCCACGAGCAATTTCATAGACGAGATGGTACCCGAGATCGCAAGAAGACAGCCGATTGCGATTAGGAACACATTAAGAGCCAAAATGGGCTTCGATATCTGGTTCCAAAAGATCTTGATATAGAATACCGATGGGAAAATGAGTACTATTGCCACACTAACGAGCGAACCCGTAAGTCCAAGGACATACTGGAAGTACGGCACTGATAGGGCTAAGACCAGTATAAGTAACAACAAGATCGACCCGATTGTGCCCCTTATGATCGTCTTGGTTCGAGACTTCATCGAGTAAAGGAACCGATGTTCGAGTTCTATTGCAATTGGTGCAAATTCGAGTGCGTATTTGGTCATTGGTGTCAAAACAGTAGCCCATAATGCGATCTTTGTGAACACAAGGCCTCGAGGCATGCTCAGGGTAATTTGCGGATTTACTTCCGGTCCAAAAAGTTTCGCTCCCATGAATGCTAAAGATGCATATAGCGAGGTCACAAATGTGAAGCTTACGATAGACACCTGGAAAATGGCAGAATTGAACACACAATGTTAAAATCATAATTTTACAGTTAGGAATCTTCATCGTCTTCGTTTTTTGGGTACAAACTAAACATTAAATACCCATTATAATGTTCAAAAAGATCAATATGCGACGTGTACATGTGATTGAATATACCAACCTTAGTAAACTTGGAGGGGTCTTTCATAGCCCTGTGTATATCAGGAAACACAATATGGCCACCATAGCTGAAGACATACAGACCGGATATGTGTGGTATGTTCCTTAGCCTAAGAGCAGGGATCGTGTGATTGGCGGTGACACCTCCAAACACTGCGGTGCATGCTACTGTCACGAAAATCATTAGCGACATGATGATGCCGCTAGTAGAGAGGAACGAAATGGATGCAAGATCTCTCAGCCAGAGGCTAGGAAGTGCCACCAACACCGCAAACACAGTCAGGACTTGAGAAGTAGACAAGTGGTGAACCCATGAGAACTGGACATTGGTTCCAAAGAAGACCATTTTCAAGTTGTCATGCAATGATATCGTGTAGGAAACAAGTGCCATGAAGATCTCCAAGTAGATAAATGTTGCTGCGATTGCTCTTCCACGGCTCCCGAAGGCATGGTGGCCGATATCTGTGTAGTTTCTTGCTTTCTTGTTGTTTTCGAGGCATTTTCCAAGAAGGTGGGAGGTGTATGCGCATGCGATTCCAAGGGCTACAAGAAGAAATGAAGAAATCCACCCTCCGTTTTCTAGAGCATATGATGTTGATAGTTGGCCAAGACCTGTTAGATATCGAAAAATGTTTAGGTAACTTAGTCCCTCTCTTTAAAGGATATTTTTGAAGAGAAAATCTATGACTCTACGCACCTAACAAAATAAAAGACGAATTGGGAAAAAAAACACACCTATGAGCATTCCGATCATATTAACGACAGATTGAAGAAAAGAACTATTGGCATCGCTTGCATGCGTATCCCCATCATTTATCTCGTTTTTAACCTCAAACTTTACCTCATTTTCTTCGTTAATACATTTGTTACACGGCTTCTTACCATCTTCCAAACAAGCTTCACAACTATCGACCCATTTCACAGCATTGTTCGCTCCCTGAATCGACTCTGTTATACTAACTTTTTTAGGATCAGAACTCCTCTTTGAATTCAAAAGTATCGTGCATGTGTTCATTTCCATTTTCTGGAATTCGTAGAAATCTCCTCAAACTATGGAGACAAGGAACACTAAGAATCTATTTGTTTTTGAGGTTTATTGATTATGAGACAGCGATACATGGGACAGTTATTTATAGGTGGTACCAAGTGTGCAAGACACAATAGTGACATGAGAATCTCACAAGAGAACTTTAACTTGCAACTTAATTGTTGATTTGATAACAAATAGCCAAACAGGTTACATTATAAAGTTTAATGTTTGTAGAGATTCTAGTCCACTTAATTTAACTAATTAAAACCGATACAAAAAGAGAAAACAGTAAAGACATCAAAATTGTCGAGTTAAGTAATTGGATCGATATGTGTCACAATGAAGTGGAATCATAGCATTTTCCTTTTCATATATATATATATATATATATATATATATATATATATATATATATATATATATATATATATATATATATATATATATATATATATATATATATATATATATATATATATATATTCCTATCTAATAAAAAAATAGTTTTAATCTCCTTTTGATATGTATCATCTTTTTAGGCCTCCTAATTAATGCATATTTTATTCTTCTTTTATCATATATCACCATATTATATCTCTTAATTAATACATGTCATTTGTAAACCTATTAATTATCCATTTCAAAATTTAAAATTTAAATTTACCATTCTAATTACATTAAATTAATAATATTAGAATAAAAATTAAAATAAACTTAATACAAATTATAAAATATATAATTTCACATATTTATTTAAATCAATGAGTAAAATTTATATAATTAAAAAAATCTCTTAATTAATAATTTATTTAAAATAATTAATTAATAGTTTTTAGTTTTTATTTTAAAAGTTTAATTGATTGTATAACCGTGGTTCCCACGGATTATAAACTAGTACATATATATATATATATATATATATATATATATATATATATATATATATATATATATATATATATATCTTATAATTTAACTTCTAACATGATTTATTTCGAACATTTTTTTTTTAATTTCACATTTATCTTACTTTTACATAATCTCATTTTCAACTATAACATATATATAGCCGAGTAGGTGTTCGGAAAAAAGATATGATAAAAGAGGATGATAATAATGAAATTCCGAAAGTCTTTAAAGTAAATCAAGTGAGAGGTAGAAATTTAAGAACATTATAATAAATATATCAAACAAAATGACGTATTATGGTGTGTTTGAGTACCTAAACATATATACCCTTAAGGGTATATTCATTTTTTCATATATATATATATATATATATATATATATATATATATATATATATATATATATATATGAGATGGTTCTTTTAAAGACACTAGTGAAGACAATGAGGACAATTCTAAACCAATTTTCTTTAATTAAGTAATTCTTCGTAATTAACAAAACAATATTATAAAAAATAGATTATTTAAAATGTAAGGGCAATATGGTAAAAGTGAAAGAGATAAATAAGGAAATCGGATTTTTGGAGGATTTGTAGGGATTCAGATAACTACTTTTAATTTCTTTTAATTATTTAGGATTTCAAAGTTTGAATTTTTAAAACTCTAATTTTATCTTAATATAAAAAAAATACAGAATTTGAAACACCTATTCAGATTCACATTAGAATGTCCAAAACATTATGTTTATTTGCGTATATCATTATAAAATTCTGATGAGAATTTTAACTAAAACTAAATAACATTGCAAATTCATACTAGCATATATAAAATTCAATTCTTAATGAAACATTAAGTAAATATTCATACTTGAACATACAATAAATAAATTCCGAGTAGCAAAATAAGTTAAACAATTTCAAGTATGAATATAAAAAATAGTATATGCAATAAACATGGTTTGAAACTAACACAAATTCCATTAAGAATATACATATATCAATGTCTTATATAATTCGTATTAGATTGCAATTGAAGTGTATCACATTGCAGATGGAACCATGGACCAGCCTCACAACAAAATGATTTCTTCAACATTTATTTGCCTTTTTCACCTTCAGCCAACTAAAACTAGGCTACTAGCGTATCTTTGTTGAAATACATAGGAAACAGTCTTGAAATTAACATTGTTTCAAGGCATTAGAATATGGAATATCACTAATGTGTAACCCTCCGCATCAATACCCCCTCTGCATCAATACCGTGCCCACACCCAAGATGGACGCATCGCAGTATACAACAAAATCCTCCATGCCCTCCGGCAGGGCTAAGATTAGCGCCTCACACAATCTCTGTCTCAATCTCTCAAACGCAGCCTGCTGCTCAGGTTCCCAGCGAAAACCACAACTTTCCTCGTCAATCGGGTCAAGCGCACGACTATCTTGGAGAACTCCTGAATAAATCTACGATAATAGCCTGCCAGTCCCAGGAAGCTCCAAATCTCAGATGGAGACCTTAGAACCTTCAATCTCATCACGGCCTCCAGCTTGGCCGGATCAACCGAAATCTTGTCCTGGTTGACAAGGTGCCCAAGAAATTGCACCTCGTGCAACCAGAACTCACACTTGGAGAACTTAGCATACAAGCTCTCCCTCCTCAAAGTATCCAAAACCTCTCGCAAGTGCTCCTCATGCTGCTCTCACGTCTTGGAATAAACCAAGATTTCATCGATGAAAGCTATCACAGACCGATCCAACATCGGTCTGCACATGCGGTTCATGAGATCCATGTACGCGGCAGGAGCATTGGTGAGCCCGAAAGTCATCAACAGAAACTCATAGCGACCATAACGCATCCGAAAAGCAGCCTTTTGCACATCATCCTCTCTGACCCTCATCTGATGATACCCTAAATGAAAATCTATCTTGGAGAACTAAGATGCTCCCTATAGCTGGTCAAAGAGGTCATTGATCCTCAGAAGTGGGTAATGATTCCTCACTGTTACCTTATTCGGCTCCCAATAGTCTATACACATCCGATGCGAACCGTCCTTCTTCTTCACAAACAGAATCGGGGCTCCCCAAGCTGAGCTGCTCGGTCTAATGAATCCCTTGTCTAACAGCTCTTGCAGGTGTGTAGACAATTCCTGCATCTCAGGAGGAGCCAAACGATATGGTGCCTTGGCTATCAGAGCCGTACCAGGGACTAGGTCAATCCTGAACTCTACCTGCCTCTCCGAAGGTATCCCAGGAAACTCCTCAGGGAATACATCTGCAAACTCTCGTACCACGAGCACATCACCGACCGTCGCCTTACCTGCCTCCCGGGTATCCATAACATAGGCGAAAAATCCTGCGCAACCCTGCTGAAGGTAGCACCTAGCTCTCGCTGCTGAACATAAAGCCAGTCCTTGCTGTGGCCTCTTGCCCTAAATCACCAGCCCTCCCTCACTTGGGGTCCTGATCCGCACCAACTGTTGCGCGCAGTCAATCACTGCCCCATTGGGGCTTAGCCAACCATAATAATAATAACCTTGTTCCCACGCAAAGGTATGGGAACCAGATCTACCAGGTAACGCTCCTCAAACAACCTCAAAACACAATCTTGGTAGACCTCTGATGTTCGCACTGACCGGTCGTCCGCAATCTCAACCTCTTAAGGGCAATCCAACATATCCGAGGACTCAGGAAACTTCTTGCTAAGCGTAAGCGATACAAACGATTGGGTAGCACCCGAATCAAACAATACCTGAATTGGGATACTGTTCACATGGAACGATCCTAAACATAGCACATACATAGCATCTCAAAATCACAGTGACATAACATAAAAGCATAAGTAAGAAATCGTACCCGTCACCACATCGGGTGCAGCGTGTACCTCCTTGGCTGTGAACTGAAATGCTCGGCTCCGCACCACTGGAGCCTCTACCTTGGCCTTTCGGCTATCCGTAACCCGTGCTGACACTGGGGTCGGTGCCACCGCTGGCGTTGCTGCTGTCACTGCTATCAACCTAGGGCAGTTGGCCTTCTTATGGCCCCTCTGATTGCAATGGAAGCAAATCAGGTATGGCATCTGTATTGTGGAGGCGGGGGCAGTACAATCCCTGCCAAAGTGCCTCGTCTTTCCGCACTTGTAGCAACCCAACGATCCCGCTCTACAAGCTCCCTCATGCAGCTTGCTGCATTTCCTGCAGCAGCTCTAGACCGACTGGCCCTTCGACCTAATGTTGGATCCCTTGGGTTTCTTCCCCGAAACCCCTGTCACCTGCTCAATCTATGCTTTCCTCTTCCTAACATGCTCTAAATCGAGCTCCCTCTCCCGCGCCCTGGTAATCATGGACTCCAGGGTCGAGCAGGCTGAATAGCTGACATGCTCCCGCATATCAGCCCTCAACATATCATGGTAGCGGGTCTTCCGCATCTCCTCATCCCCCCGCATACTGGGGTACGAACAGGGCCCTCTCCCTGAAATCGGCGGTCATCTCCGCCATTGTCTCAGTCGTGTGCCTCATATCCAAAAACTCCCTGACCATTTGCTGAAGCTCCACAACCGGTGCAAACTCAGCCCTAAATCTGGTCATGAAATCCGACCACGTCATAGCCTCGATGGCTGGGGCTCCGAATGAGTCACCAACCGACTCCCACCAGTCTCTAGCTTTATCCCTCAGACATCCCGTAGCAAAGTGGACCTTCGACCCTTCCATGCAGAAGCTCGTGAACTGCGCAGACTCAATGTCTACGATCCATATCTTGGCAGCAATGGGGTCCTTCACCCCATGAAAATCTGGCGCACCACTCCCTCTTATGTCCTTGAAGGACAGTGTGCGTGTACCCGCCTGGAAAGACACCAAATCACTCCTGAATAATCGGAGGCGATCCTCCATTAGCTCGATGATCCCCTCCTTGATCGACCCGAAAATAACTGGGGTCGACTCAAGGATACCTCTTGTGATTTCAGATACGATGAACTCGCGTAGCCCGTCATCAACCCGCTCGGATCCTGCACCCGAGCCTGATCCTAATCCTAATCCTAAACCTCCCGCTCCATATCATGTGGTTACCATACTTAAAATAAACACATAAATGTTTGGATAATACATGCTCTTGATAGGTCTCACACACTCTCAAAGTTCCCTGGTTCCATCTCGGCCCTCCTTGACTCGAATACGGATCCTC